ATGTACTGAATGTTTCTTTTTTTTTTCTTAGACAATTACCTTAAAGGAAAACTATAAGGCTGCCTTTAGATAAGCTGTAATTAAAGATCATAAAAATGTTCAATATATAATTCCCTTATTTAGAAGGGGTCATTAAAGCCCCCTAAGAAGCCCCTGATTGTGCAAAAGTGGGCTGGCAATGGTCTACGTTGAGCCTCGTACACTTTTTCAGCTCATGCAGAGAGAGAGAGAGAATTTATTATGCAACCCAGCAGGCTGCATCAACAATATAAACCTTTTATCTGGATGGTTTGATAATTCCTCATGTGAAAACATTTCCCGGCATGCTCTGCTGATATTAACAAGTGCGATACATGTAATTTAGGTATCATTGTTACCTTGTTTTATTGTGACTTCTCACTTCAGCTAATAATTAAAACTTCAAGCCATTCCATAGACAGGTCTGTGATTTCGACTTTGTGCAATTCGCAGAAGTTGCAGCTTCGGAACACATAATTAATCTCCTTGCTAGTTTCTTCGGGAAACATATGGTATTTGTGCAAAAATACTCTGGCTTTCAGCTGTAAAAATCATGGGACGTTTGCATTATAATTAAACTCTTGAACACAGCAGATGGATTGAAGGAGGGGGAATGGATACATCAGGGAAATTACCTTGAATAGCGAACATTTTCTTCCTTATTAATCCCACTTGGGCAGCCATATGATGGCAAATGAAGTTTTTGGTCTTAGTTTATTTCTTTTTTCCTTTTTTACCCCTGTTGTCATCAAGTTATAATTGTCTTTCATTTGCCAAGATTGATTTTAATGCTGTGTATGTTTATTGTGTCATCTGGCACAGTCCTCAATGCGCAGAAGTTGTTGAAGGGTCAGTTCACACAAAAGTATTATTTCAGGCCCAACTTCGAACATATTTGTACAACCCCCATAAAACCCTCCTTTAAGGCCTATTTTTTAGGAAATTTTAGTTTTCCCACCTCCTACCCATTCTTTATTAGCCAAGATTGCTTTTATTGCTGTGTATGTGTATTGTGTCATCTGGGATTGGCACAGTCCTCAATGCGCAGAAGTTGTTGAAGGATCAATACACCCAAAAATAATATTTAAGGACCATCTTTGGGCAAATTCGACCCCCGCCCCCTAAGGACCATCCTTAGGCAAATTTGTACCCCCCCTGCCCCCACAATCTCTCTTAACCACCTCACTTCTACCCATTCACCTTTAAAAAAAATACCCTTTAAAATGGTTTTATACTGCCATCGTGTGACCTGAGAGTTCTGGCTGCATCCACCGTTGCAGCCAGAAACCATCACTGGCTGGTCTTGTTGCAGCCCCTTGTGATGACATCATGACACTGCTGGTGTCCTTATTGCCTGTGAGGAGCATGTTGATGGACACTTCAGTGTTAGGGACACCTGAAGACGTACTCTCCTACTCTGCAGTCCAGAATAGTGAAGACTCGGGACCTGGCAAGTAGCATTGCCAAAGATTTAGGTGAATATTTGGGGCCTTCGATTATAATTGTAACTTTCAGTTACAGTTGGGATCTGACTTGCCTGTTATCGTATTGTATTTCTTGAGTACTCCAGCGCATAGCTCTCTCTTTGCCATAGATCCTGGCTTTGTTCTCACTCCTCCTGTTGCATCCTCCAAATGTAAAATTTAGAAAGTTAAAGCAGGACTGCTTTACCTGCTGTATTGCTGTATTGTCTGCAGCAGGCATTCAGACCTGGAAACTGAAATGCTGAGGAGTTCCAGGCAGATACAAGATCTGCCAAAATCTAAGATATTGGTTTAGCCTGGACTAACCCTTTAATAGGAATTTAGTTTCTGCAGGAAATAGGCAACTGGCATGCTAGTTTTGGCAGTGAAAGGGTAAACAAGAAGGCAGAATTTTCTCTGGGCAAAGCAGATATTCACAGGAAGAGGGTTAGAACACAAACTTCATATAAGCTCTCTACTTGGGCAGCTGGCACGGTCACACAAAAGGGAGCGGGCACATACTTAAATTGCTGGTTGCTGCAAACCTTCTCTTGTTTTTAGAGAAGACTCAAAGTGTACCCACACTGAAGTGTTATGTATACAGTTTTACTGGGATGGATAGATCCTGGATTTGGCCTGGTATTAGCCTCTTGAAATCCCTGTACAGCAGAGCTCAGATGGGGACAGGGAGAAGCAGCACAAGGCCACACACATACACACACACATATACATATAATGTAACAGTATATAACAAGAGCATGTGTTTGCCTATAAATGCTGATCATAACAGATGCCCCCCCAAAAAAAAAACTTTAAATGCTTGGACTCTCCCATATCTGCTGCTGCTACCCTATATGATTGCTGCTGTGACAACTAATCCTTTAATGTGAATCTAGATTTGGGCAATGGTATGCTTAAACAGTATGGCATAAGTCAATGGTGAATGATATACCACATACAGCAGTTGTTCTACAGCTGCTCCTCTGCACAGATCCTTGTTCTCGTCCGTTCCTCAGCGCTGTGTGGCTGTGAGGGGTCTGCCATATTAATGGAGGTACAACCTATTGACAGGCAGTTCTTCCTGTTCCTAGACCTGCTGGCTACTTTTATCTCATGAGGTCAACAGCAGTAAGATGTTTTTCATGGTTTCTGGATCTCTTCCTAATTCTCTTGGAGCGTGGGTGTTTCAACCAAATTTTGGGGTCTTCCTACTTCCTTCCTACTACTTTTCTTTTCCACAATGAAATTTGAATTAGAATTCCAACAGGAAGAGTGGATACTACTAGCAATGGCCATCACAGGTATGCAGACCTGGGAACTCTACTGTAGAGATCTTTCCATTGGAGTTCTGGTATCTAATAGCTAATAAAAAAAAAAAAATCTGTTTTGTAGGCATTGACTGTTTAAAGAACATCCCAATACACCCCTCGCCTAACCACCATAGGGCAAAGCCACAGTCCACCTTCCAAGGATGCACATCTGTTGCAAGTGGCACGGGAGCATGGAGCCGGCTTCCCGGCCAATCAGGAAGCCGGGCAGCATGTAATGACGCTGCCCAGCTTCCTGATACGAGTACTCGCCCAAATACTCAGGATCGCTACCGATACTAGTATCGGTATCAGTGCATCCCTAATAGTGAATGTTGCTATTGCAAAGGTAACGAGGTGAATCTGT